ATAAGAATATCTATGATAAAATTAAATAAGAATGGGGATAGTGGGCATCCTTGACGGACACCACTTGATGAGTATAGCTCCCTGGACAACTCACCATAGGCTCTAACATGCCCACAAGTGTTCGAGTAGAGAGCTTTCAATAAGGTGATGTACTTACTAGGCACGCCTTTCAGTGACAGACACTGCCATAAGACTTCTCGATCAACGGAGTCAAATGCCGCCTTCAGGTCGAGAAATACAGCTATTGTCGGGCGTCTGTAAGCATGCCTATGTTCCAGGACCTGGCGCAGTGTGAATATTTGGTCGATACATCCACGGCCAGGTCTAAAGCCTGCCTGGTTTTCTCGGGCTTGCTGTTCCCGAGCTCCACTCAGGCGTCGGAGAATTATAGAACTTAGGATCTTAGACACTATGTTTGTCAGGCTGATTCCTCTGTGGTTATCACAAGAGGACTTCTCGCCTTTCTTGAAGACTGGGATGATGAGTGACTTAGACCAGTCGGAGGGGATCGTATTTGATTCCCATATACTGGCTAACACTTCCGTTAGCCTGACTAAGAGAACTCTACCACCATTCTTGTATACCTCAGCAGGTAGTCCGTCTGGTCCTGCTGCCCTTCCCCGTTTCAGGCTACCTACCGCTTTCTCAACTTCTTCTAGTGTTGGGGGACCTGTCTCTATGTCCCATTCAGGGTCCGACTGGATAGCGGGCAGCGCAATGGTGGCTGGAGGCCAGTTAAACTGTTCCTCAAAGTGTTCTGCCCATCGTCCCAGTCGCCTTCCCTGCGAGTGAATCGCCGATCCGTCCTTCTCCGCTATAACCTCACTAACTGTTGTTGACCATTTCCCCCCAGTCTCCTTAATAAGTCTAAATAACTGTCTACTGTTACCGATCGCCGCTGCCTTTTCCATCTCTTTAGCCTTTGCTGCCCACCACTGTTCACGATCGTTGCGCAGACTTTTCGTCAGTTTATTTTTAAGTTGCGCTCGCTCTTCATTGTACTCAGAGCCTGCAGGGATGCATTCACGTGCATCCATTAGTTTGGAAGAAGCTGCTGATATCCACTGGCTCTTTTTAGCCATTATCTTGGAGTCGGCTACAGTCTCCAGTGCTGCTTTTACAGTAGACTGAAGATGGCACCAAGCTTCTTCTGGATGAGTGACAGTCTTTTGTTCCGATAACTGCCTAGCCAACTTCTCACTGAACACGGCTTTGGTGTTTTCGTTGTCCAGCAGAACTCGTAGTGGTTTTGTTGCCAAATTTTTTCTACGTCCATTGAGACGCAGGCATATACGTGCTCGGACCAACGCATGATCGCTGTCCAAACACGTACTCCAGAAGGAGCGGCAGTCTTCCACCGATCCTCTCCAGCGATGACTAATAGCAATGTGGTCTATCTGTGTCCATCGCTGAGTCGAGCTCGGTGGACGCCAGGTCAGACAGTGCCTTTCTTTATGTCTGAAATTTGTGCTGGCTAAAAATAGGCGGTTATCTGAGCATAGTTGTAATAGGCGATCACCGTTATCTGTACGTTCAGCTGGGATTCCGAAAGTGCCACCTAAGTGCCTTTCTGCCTCACTCAGTCTACCCACCTGTGCGTTGAGGTCACCTGCAACAACCACTACGTCCGAACGTTTGGCTTTCGAGAGGAGGTTAGACAGTTTATGGTAGAACTCGTCCTTCACTTCATCCGAACTACAGTCAGTGGGTGCGTAAGCAGAGATTACAAAGAGACAACGGCGAGTCTCACTATTCCTTTTAGTTCTCACTGTGCCGTTCAGCCTCATAGCGCAGAGGCGACTATCAACTGGGATCCAGTCTAGTAGTGAGTTTTCTGCCCTGGTGCTTAATGCTATACCTACACCTGCAAGACCACGAGAGCTAGCTATCGAATCTCCAGAAACTCGAAGGGTGAATTTTGCAGATTCACCAGATTGGTCAGGAGAGGTCAGGTGAATAACCACACTTGGGTCCTGTATGCGTGTCTCACAAACACAGCACACATCCATGCCTCGAGTTGCTAGAGTCTTTGCCAACGAAGCCTGTTGGCCAATTTGACGGAGGGTGCGGACATTGAAGGCTCCAATATGTAATTTGGAGCGTGGTTTAAGGAGACCAGGGATGCTGTTCTGTGGACTCAGATCGTTGTCGAAGGCTGCAGAGGTAGGAGAAATTGAAGATGATGCAGCATCATTAATTAAGAGACGTGAAGGAAGATTAGAAGGTAATGATGGAGGAGGAGGATAGCAGTCAGAAGAAACTTGGGTGCTGACAGAGTTGTGAGGGCGGTTGACACTTCCCGGCTGCCCACACCGTGGAAGGCTATTTCTTCTTAAGGTACCTGAAAGAGATTTGTGTGACCGCAGAGCCCATCGGACATCTGCTTGAGGCCTGTCACACCCAGCCTTTTGAGTATGATTATTTTGAATTTTTGTATTTTTGGGGCCGGATGAGCGAAAGGAAACGACAAGTGAACCAACACCGCCGGCCCGGCAGACCGTGGGGCGTGGTGGAGTGTGTTATTTTTGGGGCCGACCTTTTCTAACCCCCCCTTCCACTGAGAAGGCAGCATCAGCTTGGCACTGCTGGTCATCCAAGGGAAACACCTTACTGCTGTCACACCCCATCCAGCTAGCAGCAGTACGACTTCGCCCTCAGACCCCCATCATAGTGTAGCAATTTACACTATAACGGTAACTGCTTTTCGTCTAACCACTACCCAACAGACCTTTCTGGTATGGTAGGACCTCGAGGGAACAAGCGTTCCACCAGCATAGCTCGTTGGGTCATTGTGATATGCAAGCCCGACCACCACGTCAAGGTAGCAGCTATCGGTCGGGACCCTGATATGAAAGATAAACAACTCACTAAATTATAACATACCGAGGTATGTCTGGGATGATCCTGTTGATGGAAGATTCAAAGGAATAAGAAGTACTACACCAGTTGATTGGAGTAAACTCTGATGATGTACAACTAACTAGTGAGTCAGTCTATCAGAGGACTGCGACAATGGAACCTCTGTTTTAAGAAGACGTATGTATAAGTCTCACTGACTAGTCACTGAAGAGTAACCAATTTCATGTTATCTAATCCTAGGTGCTGACAGAACTCAATAGGTCGTTTTGCCATGTGGTCACAAAGCCAGAAGACTTCCCATCATTTTGCACTTCTACAGATGTCAGTTGGTTGCAGGTAAAATGGCCAATAGAATTCAGTCAGCAATAAGGAATGTAAGACATGAAATAGGTTACTTTTCAATGATCATTCGATGTGTCCCGAAAAGCTTAATGTTAGGGTAACCAACTGCAGAACGGGGTGACACACGTTCAATATTCACGAAGGACATCAGTTCCCTCGAGGTTGAAGATTCATCTTGCTGAAAACAGCCAACAAGCATGAAACGTAATTAGGACAATCAGACAGAAAAAATCGACGTAAGACCCCTCAAACAAGTGCATCGGTACAAGTTGCCGTACTTCACGATAGTATACAAAGAAGTGGATAGAGAAAAATTGACAAAACAGCAGACAAAGCTGAACGGAAGGAGACAGAATTTAAAACTGAAGATTAGACAAGACAAAACATCAAAGAATAAACACATGTGCACCATTGTGACCGACTCTTAGCCATGTCTCCAAGAGTCTACAGCCAATGATTCCTACTGTCTCAGGAACCAAGGCAGGTAGTCTACACGTCACAGACCAATAGCCAGGAACCTGAAGAACTAGTATCACTTCTTAGTCTGACCACTCTGAACCCTCTTCTAATCTAACCCAACTTCCCCTAGCATTGCAAGTCGAAGTAAGAGGTGACTCGGCATGCGCAGTATGTGTCCAAGAGACCTTAATTGGTGAAGGTTCACAACTTCATCGATTGACTTGCCTAGTACCCTTCACCTGACCTTGGCATTCTTCATACTCTTTGCTGTGTCACTTATTACCGATCTACAATTCAAGAAGTTATACTATAACCTTTTTCTGCTACATTGCAGCTGTGTGTGCTTGAGAGACTAGTAGGTACAATGGGTCATTTAGAATGTAATGAAGTGGTAGAAAATAAATTTATACTTTATGAAACGGTAAACCTCAATATATGTTAACCCAGGAAACATAACTCTGACTGATGCAATTCAACTTGCGTACAAGTCATTTTAACCCGGACGCATTCGGGTAACTGTTCACAGTTTCACCAGTGCTGCTAATTTATATCATTCTGATTAGGTCGGTGAAATTTACAGATAAGCGTAAGCGATTTCAAAATACTCATGTTGTTTGGCCGTGTCGCATTATTTCATGACACTTATGCAGCAGAGATTTCAGCTAGGTGGTTTCCGTTGGAAACCACGTTGATACCATAATCAGCCAGTCAAAAAATACTCAGCTGTGAGAAATGTCACTAAGGAATGTGCAATTTGCAAATAACCTTGAAGTTGACCTTCCCATTTAAAGCATACCAGTTCACCGAAATCAACTAGCCGGATTCCCGTCTTACTAGTCGCAATAGCGAAAAGACTCATCTCCTAACCTCTTCATGCAGTACGAACATCCTGTCTAGTCTAAAATGGTTACACAAACAGAGAGTAGATTGGACATTTGCTGAAGTGTTGATTTTCATGAGTATCCATCCAGTTCTTCCCTATGAATGAAACGACTCACACTGCTAAACGCCTATCTAGTGTAAATCAGCACTAATACAATAGTTAACACACATTTGTTAACAGTTCATACTAACCGAACTTCATGTATAATGTTGAGTCGCTCTCAGTTCTATATAAGTTACAGAGACACATAAATATGTTGACAACACCGTGGTGGTTGTAGTACAACTGCTACGGACAGGGACACCCATGATCACGCTAAGGGAAGATGAATAGCGGTAGCGTTAGCCTTCATGCAATAGATTCGACAGACAGCTAGACACAAGAAACGAAAGTATCTTAACCAACTTCGTTCATTGTGGTACAGTCACACTTCAATAAAACAAAAAGAGAAACGCTCAACAAGTTATACACAATTTATTGTAAGAAATCTATGCAGAAACAGATTTTTAAGCAGGATGAAGAGAATTTTATGTGTAAAAGAGAAAAAGAAAGTTTAGCACAATGTCTCTGAAATTCAACAAGGCTTATGTTAATAATCAGTACTTCTTATCTGGCGAATCAATGACAGCTTTTATCCTATTAAATGCAGACAATGCCAATGTTTTACATCGAGCATTATATGAGCTCGACAGGAAGACTGGTGAGAGTACTTTCAACGTCTCTTCAATTTTTACTGAGTCTCGGTTAGTAAAATTTGAATTGGTACATATCAATCCCAACAGTAGAAGTAAATGGGTCAGATTCTTGGGAGAGAAATAAAATATACAAATAGAATTAAGACAAAATAATCGAAAACTAATTAACTGATTTTTAAAAGTTCATTGAATAGTGTGCTTATCGAAATTGTCTCAGCAATCACATTCATGTTGGTGTAAGTAAGCAATGAATCACACATATTGTTCAAGGACAAATGATACTATCTGGCTGTCCAAGCATAGATAAGTAGAGTGGGATTCGGACCCGGGACCTATTGGGCTGGAAATCGAGAGTCTAGATCAATGAGCCACAGATTATAATAAAATGAAATCGGGTTAACGCTTTCCTAAGCAACGTTTTATGCCTTATCATATTACTCGTGAACAAGAGAAACCTGAAATACTAAGTAAATTTATTATAACATTCAAATTCATCCTGCAGTATCATTGTTGGCACTAAGATTCGATTCTTTCAGCGGTATAGTAATTAACATACCTGACCATATCAGTGGTGTGAGTAAAGGCATAGACTACTTGTGCATCGACAAATTTTATACCAATACACAAATGGAAGACAAGAGACTCACTTTAATCAGCAATGTTGCTTGAAGAAGGATTATATTTGTAGAAACGCTAAGTACATTCAAGTCATGGAGAATTTTTGTAGCTCAGGGGGATAGTTTTGATGGCGTTGTGTTTTCTAAGCTGCGTGGCTTAATCGTGGAGCCTTCAATGTCATTCTCGAAAACATCATCAGCAAAAACTTCGGAATTTTTTCCCCACAATTTATTTAGTAGCTCGTCCCAATGCCCTTGTGTATGACTGGTTGTTTCTGCCAAGGTCTTGTCATTGTCACCATGTTTGTTTTGATTGGTTGTCCTGATGACCTGGAAATTTAACCTTCTTTTCGTTTCCTATTGTTTGACAGATTGGGTCAATACGTCTGTCGATTGCTGACTGATCTGAATATCAAGCTTCAAAAAGTCCTCTGGAATTCTCTGTATTTCCACTGTCCTGGGTTTCCACATTTTTCCAGTCAAATTCATGTCCACAGCTGCTCGTATGCTCTGATATGAGCGAAGATATGTCGTAATCCTTTGTTGCTAGTTGGTGTTCATGCAGACGGATACAAAGACGGCAATCACTGTGTCCGATGTAGTGTATTTCGCTGAGAAATAGACGAGCACGTAGGTCATTCATCTCAGAAGTCCTACCGAAATTGATGAATTCATTCGATTCCGCTTTCTGTACTTTTGTTGCTTGTTTTAAATTCGCATCGAGAAAGAAGTGTTTTCAGCATTACTGACTGATGTGGTGCGAGTAATGCGACAAGTACAACTCCTCTAGATGTTGGCAATGAAACGCCACGAACTTATGTTTCGTGGTTGTTGACATTCGTCAGGATGGAGCATCACTAGGCTTGAGAAAACTGGTGTCTCCCAGGTCATCATTATCAACATAGGACCAGGCATTACTGCGTAACGGTCCGAGTTGCCACACCTCACATCAGTTCATCAAGTAAAAAGGTAGTGAGGTAAAGGATGAAGATAAGTGAATGCAGTCAAAAGAAATATAAAGTACAAGAAGAAAGGAAAGAGGAGTGACAAAATGGTGAGATTCGGCATAGCGTTGCTAAGATGAGGATAATGTGTGTATACATCTGCGCCACTGACATCGGTTCTGAGCCATATCACCTAGGGTCTCCAACCACTGGCTCCTCTTGTCTCCCAGGTGGTTCGAAACGATGTCATTCACAACCTATTCCAAGTTGACTGTTACCAGCATCTTACAGATTTTGAGGTGGACGAAGTCAACTACACTAAACTTATGTCCTTTACAAATGAACCTCTCTCAGTAAGTGGAAAATAGCCAACGAATACATGTGATTATTAAACATGTAAAAGAACTATGACACAGTAAGAGAGAAGAGCAGTACTCAAATAAACTACCATGGAGAATGAAAATTTACCTCACAATCAGGTTCCAAATCTCTTAGCTGTCGGTTTATCACCTCAATAATCACATCCAAATCGTTGTGATAGATTAACCGTGCAGTGTCAGGAAACGAGAACAGATCACAGAGAAATTTAAGTACACTATTGGTTGGTATGTTTGAACTCTTATGAATGGAAAAGGTGGGTTTGTTATTCAACTCATGTGTACTGCCTAGATCACGATTCCAAAGATTTTGAATATATTCCAAATCATCATGATGAATGTTATCATTCAAGCGTGAATTGGTTTCAAACTTTCTGAGAAATTTTTCTACACTTTCTGCTGTAGACTCTGTCCAACTGACATCTAGTCGAGAAAAATCAGCCCACTGAGCCAAATAATTCTCAGAATTACAATTTTTATCATTAGGAAGAAAAGTCACCTTGAAAGTAGGATCCACTAGAATTATAAAAAGAAAACAAGATAATGAAGAATAACTTTTTCGGTAATCTTTTTCGTAAAAATCACTTCAAAAGAACAGATTTGCGTGTACAAATGATAAGTTCACTACAACAGCAATCCTGAGATGATGAAGATCGTCATTCAATGGATAAAATCACCTTGAAGTGGCGATTTTGAATGACAGATCATTTTGACGCATGTATCTATCAAACTCCACTATACGCATTACTTGCACAGTTTGATTGGAAGAAGCCGCGATATGATGGCCTTTGACGCAACACTTGAACAGAAAAAGACCGTTGCCTTAAATTATTTGATGACACATCTCAACTATTTTGGTGAGGTTCTGACTACTTACACAAGGAAACGAAACAGAATTCAAACTTATGAATGACAGGTTCGAATTTAAGTTACTACACAAGTAAAACGGAAGTCAACAATATATACAACTCTTTTGAAGCAGACTGAATCACCAAACTTCATTCATCACTTAAAGAAACTTAAAACACCTTTATTATAAGGGATCATTGTGAGGAAGTAATCCCAACAGGAGTTAACGTTTCAAATCACCGTTGAGATGATGGAGAATAGTTGTAGCTTACAAGGATGATTCAACAATCTAGGTCAGAGAACACAATACCATCAAAATTATCTTCCTGAGCCACAAATATACTCCATCTTAAAACCCTACCAGTGTCAAACGCTTCTGATTGCTCGGAAACGGGAGAACTTCACCAAGAGGGAGACCTCCACAAGTGTCTACACTAGCAGTTTTTACCAACTAGTGACATAAAAACCACCTATCAACTATTCAATGGGCTGGAAATTAGTGGAAAAGAGTGGAAGACATATGGTATAATTGATGATCACCGATGCTCATTATAGGATTCGGAAATATCAACAGACCATAGAAAACCGAAAAAGAAAGCTCCAGTGGATACTCACAAAAGAACACTTTACAGTGTTGGCATCTGTGACTGAAAAATCGAGCAGACAGCACAAAGAACACAGAAGAAACATCCAAGATCTCGGAACCACGGGTATCAGAAGGGGAAGAAATAATTGATTGTATAGTCAACTCATCGAAATAATTCCTGACTAAATCCGAGGGACTTCTCCTTTAGAAAGGATTAGATTACAATACGGGAGACGCTTCAGGGCCAGATTTCTTCGCATCCCTAGAATCATTACTGAAGACTCCAGAACTCAACTCTAAGACCCAACAGGAAATATGAGAAGTAATCGTACCTCTGGCCAGGCTGAAGCAAACTTGCACTCAACTAACCAGTAAAGAACAGAAAGCTCTTAAGAAACTGAAGGATAAAAAGAACGTCGTTATAATTCTAGTTGACAAACGATGCATCACAGTAGTCATGGATAAAGACGACTACATCCAAGATACATAAGACTTACTCATGGACCGAAATGTATGTCAACCAATGGAGACAAATCTCATTCAAAAATTTGATAATACAATCACTAAAACCTTGAACAAACTCATCAAAGCGAGACAAATTACAACACGATTAAACAATCCAGCTCAAATAACACAGCACGATCAAAACCAAGATAAAAGTCCTTTCGTTACATAATTCGTTCGACTATCCGGCCAAATTATAGGGTACTGAAAGATTTAAGACTTATTCATGCTGAGCTGAAGTTACTAACTTTACTATGTCTTGCTATTCATTCATCAATCAGTTGATAAAATCATCTAAATTTATTTGGACAGTGAATTCCTAAGAGACGGAACAATTACATGCAATATGACTACCACTTACAATTGCGATTAAATGTTTGAATAATTAATTCAAGAAACAGACGGGATGCAACTGGTTGAGAGATTAGAGCTTGTAATAAAGGTGTTTTATTGCTACCTGGACTAGATGGACTAGTTTCAGGAGAATCTGCTTTAAAATTTGTACTAAAGTGCCAATTACACGCCAACAAAAATATCGCCACTGAATATGAAAACACATTTTGTTGACGAGTTTGTTCCGACTGATCATATCCATTTGTAGTTGAAATTTGGCAATCAAGAGAAACATTTTCTAGATCAATCAAGTTTGAACTTTGTCTTGAAGTGTCACATAATGTAAGAAGGTTAGTGAAAAGTTCTTCATCAAGCGATCCTAAAAGCATACGAAATAAAAATATGATGATAACCTGAAAAACTAAAACAAATCAGTCAGATTGAATTGCCTTATATTTGTATGAAAACAAGTTTGGAGAAGAGGATGACCTAGTACTTGTTGTGTTTCCGAGAGGATATAAAATGCACGCTTGACTGATAGGTAACTTTGTACGCAAGATCCACCGACTTCAACCCCGAACGAAATAGGGATTAGGCTGGATGAGACAGTTTACTACCTCCGAGAAAAATTAGTCAATTAACCTTATAACAAGTGTCTATATATTCATGACATATGACCTTGTCCAGAATTGGAAACATTAGTACAGTAAAAGCAGGTACTAACTAATCGGCGAGTTACCTTGAAATGGGGGTGGGGTGGAAATGAACTAACCGCAATGTCGTAAAAATGGCGCGCAAAAGACAGTTTAAAAGTGCTTATATTAATAAACTGTTTTATGTGTATGTATGGCCTTCCTTTTTTTTCGCTTGACTGAGACGTAGTTGGGATCTTTGCACTCATATTGTCTACATTATATATATATATATATATATATATATATATATATATATATATATATATATATATATATATATTACCTGCGGCTGCAATCAACCAAGTGCGCTTCAACTAGTTTAGTTGAATTGATTAGTAAACCGGAAAAATATTTCCCTAGGTGTAGTTTAAAAGTTGCAAAACTATTCTTACCATGTAAGTCCACAGGAAGATCCGATGACTGAGCAATCAGTATCGACAAAAATCGTAACTGCAAAGCAAGTTGTGGAATTTCTAAATTGAAAAACCCAAAAATAACATACGATAACTTTAATTTTTACAAATAAGTAAAAAAGAGAAGAATAAACTAAGAGCGTATATGCATAACTGTCATCTTTATTGAAGTAACAAAATGTGCAAAAGAATATCAAGTTAAGTGTTAATTGGATTTAACAATTAAACTGATAATGAGTGAATGCGATTTCTCTCTTGTTTTAATCCCCATCCCCTAGAGATCGTTTTGTCTGACATAGGCGCAAATCTGACCCGGACTGTAAATTTTATGCCCTACTACATTACTACGGTTTAGCATATATTCTATTATCTGTAGAAAAATATTTAACCTATGGTAATAGTACTAAAAGTATTACTTTTCTACTTCAGAAATAGATATGGTTTTGAGTCTAGTTATTCGTGTTTGTGCTACTAGTTGGTTGACCAAAACTTGGTGGATTGAATGGGGTTGAAAACAGAGATCTAGCAGCTGGAAGTTGACTATTAAGATGAATGCATCATAGTTATATGGTAAAAAAAAAGCACGAAATCAAACATTTCAGACTAAACGACCATCATCACCTAATAACAGTGATAAAATAACATTTTTCATGCTAATTTACAACATCACAAACTATAATATAATAATGCTTCTAGTATACATGTGACTCAATGATTTAGGGAGATGACTATCAAGTAATGGGTAACGGGTTCGAGCAATGATCCCCCTGCCGAGGTTTGCGCAGCCAAGTAATATTACTAGCCCTTACACAACAGGTGTGGCTCATTGCCAATTCCAAAGATATGCATTTCGTTTCGTCCGCTTATACATGTTTTCGAGTAACAAACAAGGAGTTTTCCATACAGGAATCCATGTTCAGTACATATATCTCCAAAATATACTCTCCTATTGATGGTTCATGAATTCTTTACTTTTGCAACTCTGAAAGGTCCTGGAAGCGTTTAAAAAAATGTGAAAAACTACATTTTAGCATGCATAAAACAAACGAAAATCACTACCAAAGTATGAGGAGCATCGTGACTCCCGAATGAGTTCAGCTGGGAGAACCGACCCAAGACAAATGCGTATACAAGCGGAATCCAAAGAACAACAGATTCCAATACATCTGAGTAGTTTGGATCGCATTTCATGCTTAGTCTCACGCTGGTACAAACGGATAAGAGAGTGGACTGGTCGAAATTCAGCGGTATGGAGATAGCACACAACCAACTTGGGATCAGCTCTCTCCTGAAACATGGTTGAGTGGAATGAATGAATGAATAAGCCTCTAGTTTTAAAACAACGAATTAATCACAGTCACAAGAGACAGAATGACAAAACCAAAGAAAATACAATTAACTTAGCATTCATCACAGATTGATATCAACTGAAGAATCATTGAGAATTTAAGAGCAGTGGACAATTGTTTCCTCTTCATATAGGAGTCCTCAGTAGTGCGCACCCTCGACCAAGCTACGAATTGAACTCATGACCTTCATATCCAAACGGTGAGCACGCCGAGACTGTCACTGGAATGGAATCCAATAGTCTACATTTTTTACTTCTATCAGTTCGAGACACAGCATCGTTGACTACTTATCTTTACGTCTGACTTGGTGGTGCAATGACAACTTCTCCCCGAAACCTGAAGGTCCTATGTTAGATCCCTGACGAAATCATGGGTGAGCACTGCTGAGGATCCCCATATTACGAGGAAACATCTGTCCAGTGCTCCTAGGTTTTCAATGGTTCACCAATCGACGTCAGTCCATGATGAATTATTATTATTAATTATTATTATTATTATTATTATTATTATTATTATTAGTCCATGATGAATACCAAGTTGGAATTAATTAAACCCTCCAAATTGAAAGTAAAATCAGTTCGAAAATACTGATATTACAAAAAGATGTAAGAAAAAAACTTGTAACAAACTTAATATTTCTACAGTAAGACCTTTACAAAATACAAAACCCTAAATTGCAAGTTAGTAAAAGGGTAAAACTCGGACACTGGTCGATTGTAATTCCATTTTAGTCCATTTATTAGAAATATCACACAGTGAAACAGTATCATTTACTGGATAACGTTTTGGACACAATTTATTGTCCATATTCATATCAGGTAACTCCACAACTTCCAGACAGACCTTATATATTCTTAATTCTCTCTCCTCTGTGATGACAAGGATAGTAGAATTTTCCATATATCTGGGATAGGTGCAGAATCATTTCGATTGCACGTAATTGGTGGTGATTCGATAACGGAATCTTTGTTTATCGAATCAACACCAAATACATGCAGTCGAAATGATTCTGTACCTGTCCCAGATATATGGAAAATTCTACTATCCTTGTCATCACAGAGAAGGAGAGAAAATTAGTAATATACAAAAGTCTGTCTGGAAGTTGTGGAGTTACCTGATATGAATATGGACAATAAATTGTGTCCAAAACGTTATCCAGTAAATGATACTGTTTCACTGTGATATTTCTAATAAACAGACTAAAATGGAACTAAATTGTAAGTACTTGTCACTTTAAACTATGAAGATGACGCATATTGTTCCATCAGCCTGTAACTTTTAGCAAGTTAGGGTTTATGAACTGGAAAATCATCAGTCACAGAGCCTAGAAACATCTTGTAGTGTGATCCCCTTTGCTTTTTGCTACCGGCCTTTACATACGCAAATAGAGAACTCCAGTCCGTATTTGCATCTTTTCTGTGTTCTTTCTAGTTACTTCTGCACTCTGAAAACCGATATTTACGCCAATTTCTTAGATGTTTGGAGGGAATTATTTCAACATCAAAAAGGAATCCAAGATAATATGGGGGAAGAAGGTAAGGTACATAATCCTAAAAAACCTATGAAGCTAAAATCATACCATTATTCATCAGGAAGTAGCAAAGAGAGTAAAGAAGTACACTTTTTTACTACTAACTTGACTAATTGCTGCTGTAGAGGAAAAAGGCAAGAAGACTGTAAATATTTGAGTGACAGTACAACTGATGAAGTACTGTTCAACCATCATGACAGATAGACCAGTGCCCGGTAACGAGAAAGTTATTAGTTTCGAATATGTATGCATCTAACATGACGAAAAGCTTTTAGCTGCTTAGATGCTGAACGTGACCGGAGAATGGGAGTTTAAAGTAGGATCAAAACAAAATAATGATCGGTGGGGCCGTTAATTAGTGATCTGAGCTGCATGTCACACTATTGATGTCTCATAGGGCAAAAGAAATCAACATTTAAGTTTTTCATATGGTATAGATTAAGAGAAGTACTAAGAATGTAGACTCGTCCAATCCTTATTCTCCCTCTTAGTTTCCTATTAGATGTCATTTTAAGCTTGGCTATGACCTGGTTCGCAATGTCTGCACAAGCTATGCGAGGGGATGGCGTAGTCCTACTTGTGCTTTACGGCGGAAATATAGTTGTACCTTATAGCTGCTGACCTATCGAGTTTGATAGCTAGGAAGATACCCATTAAAATAGGGTGAAGTAAGGTCTTTTTGCCAATACTTGAAAAATAAACAGAGAAAAGCGATCGTAGTGCACAATAGAATGTGAGCTTTTCCTAGTTTCATCTTCCTACTCAGTTGGTGATTCAGACAGTACCGTTAAAAAAAGTGATTACTTGGAAGAAACATGTGATTGCGAATGTATCATAGTACAGACAAAAAGTGTAGTAGTCATGCTAACAACCATGCCACCCTTTTTGATGGTGTTGTTTCCTCAGTTGGATGGTTTAGTCGTGAGGCCTTCATTGTCATTTTGAAAATATCATCAGCACAAACTTCAGGATGAAGTGAGCTATGGGATTTTCTCTCCACAATTTATTTAGCAGCTCGTCCCAATGCCCTTGGGTGTGATTGGTTGTTTCTGCCAAGGTTTTGTCATTGTCTCCATATTTATTCTGACTGGTCGTCCTGTTGACATGAACTTTGACTTTGTTGTTTCTTATTGGCTGATACACTGGGTCAGTGTCAATATGCCTATTAGTCCCTAACTGATCTGAATACCAAGCTTTTAAAAATTCGCTGTACTGATGATGCTGTCTAGAATGACAATAAAACCTTCACGATTAAACCATCCAGCTCAGAGAACACAACGCCGCCAAAATCATACTCCTGAAATACAACTATTCCCCCCACCACCTCATGTAGACCCTGATTAACTCGTGTCTACCAGGTCTTACAAACAAATAAAAGCCAACTAATAACAAAACCAAAAGAAAATACCAGTAAAACAATTAATTCGTTTAATCGTTCAAGAATATCATTCTGATCATCATGAAGTCTCCAAGTGCACTCTTCATCATTTCTTTCACGAGATTCAAAGAAGCCAAGTTTGATCTTAATCAAATACCAATCCGGACTTTGTGAGTACTCTTGCTCAGTTTTCATTGCATCTACTGACTAAAAACAAAAAAGCAGACAATAATAATATGCATATAGTCATCAGCGACTGGAATGTCTAAATCAAAATAATCGAGATGATCTAGATTTATGCTGACTGAAGTACATCGATCATTTTGTGTGTCCATATGAACCATGTAAATTCTGTTCGATTAGAATTGCAACATTATGAGAATATACAGACATGCAAACACAGATTTAAAATTGGACATGGCACAGCTTCAGCTCGATCCGAATTTGCACACTTTCTATCAGTACATTAGGTTGTTAGTTAAAAAGGCGAATTTAAAACAAAATTTCAGCAACCACGTGTATTTCCATGCACAAGATGATGAGCCGTATCTACTGTTAGTAAGCTTATGATAACCCCCTGACTGTTCTACCATGATCCGTGAGTATGAGGCAGTTAAATGAGACAAATACAATTTTGCCAAATGTGGTGAAATTAGGTCAGGGAAAGAAATGGTAAATGGATTATCCCGACTGCCAAAATTATGATTAACCAACAAGAGACCTAAGAAGTTCGACTTCAAGGATTCTTAAGTGTTAATTTTGTTGTTAATGCAATAATTCAAACAAGGTTGTAAAACTTGGAGTGAAGGACGGTTTCTGATACAATTGTCTCAATTCAGTGAATAACATTGCCTCATTTAAAAACAACCAATGGTACGAGTCAAACACGAACCCCTGACGCAATGTTACAACCAAACTGATCCTCAGAAAAAAGTTAGTCAGGGTCGGAGAATCTCATTAGCTTCTTCTAAATTAGCAGACAAATGTAAATGCATTCCTGCAAGCTCCGAATCTAATCAGGAGAGGAAGCAACTCAAATGTAAACTGACTAAATGTCTACGCAATGACAATAAGCAATGGCAGACAGTGAAGACACAGAGATGAAGTATGGGTCTGTGATTCACTCAAAGGAGAGACGACTGGAACGATAGGTGGAACACTCCGAAGAACAGTTCCGCTGGCTTCCAGTTACTATTCCATCGCAAGCCATCCAGTCGGATCCCGAATGAATCATTGAAGAAGTTGAGAAAACTGTAAGCAATCTGAAAGAGGAAGACCCGCAGGGTCAAATGGGCTAGCTCCAGAGGTTTACAAGGAAAGTAGTTGAGGATTACAAGTTAGGTAAATTGAAGTGCTAACTAGCGTTCGGGAACCAGATATGATCCCCTCTTATCGATCTCAACCACTTATTGTCCCAGTCTTCAAAAAAGGAGAGGAATCCATCTATGGTAAGAACAGAGGAGTCGTTCTGACGAACAACGTATCTAAGATTCTAAGTCCTATAACTATTAAACATCTAAGTGGTGTTCAGGAACGGCAGATGTGAAGAAACCAGGTAGGTTCCAGTCCTGGTTATGAGTGTAGCGACCAAATATTTACCCTTCACCAGCTTATGGAACACAGGCACACTTAAGAATTCCTGATACTGGTTGTATTTCTCGACTTGAAGGCGGCATTCGACTCCGTTGATCGAGAGATCTTGTGGCAAAGTCTCTCAGTGGGAGAGGTACTGGGCAAGTACATCACTCTATTGAAGTCACTGTAATCCAACACTCATGGGTGTTAGAGCCAGCGGTGAGTCATACGCGTTGAGCAGTGTCCACCAAGGATCTCCATCCCCCTATTCTTAGTCAATTTTATCACAGACGTATGTACACAGATCTCGTTCTACTCGTCTGACTGTAGGGACTGACCTTGTCACACGAGATTCTTTAGCAAACCTAGAGTACACAGATGACACAGTCCTACAAGATGAAGATGGTGATAAGACGCAGTCTCTTGGACAGTGGGTGGCGACTTGACAATGTTTCGGACTTATTCCAGGACAGGTTTGAGTTGGTGCCTCGTCTAAGGAGAGAGTGAAGTGGCTGAGTACGTTGACTACTGCCCTCACTCGGGAGTCTGGATCAGTCCTACTGAGTCTGAGACCGACGAAGTTTTCGCATGAATACAAAAAGGTAGCTTATGTTGTGCCAACTTACGCCGTTAATGTGACTGGTGTGATATCCAATCACCCATTAGGAGGGGGCAGTGTAAATTTCAGCAGTTCACTACCTTTCTACACAGTTGTGAGACATGCCGACTAAAGGTAGAAGGCTAATCAGTGTCTACCTCGTTGCACAATGTCAGTTGAAGCAGGTTTGACCATGATCTCATAGAAAAAGATCAAACAAACAGGGAACACGATAAAGACAGTGTGTTCGGCAAACATCGGTAGCTATCACATTCAAATACAATCACTAAATCAAGTGAAAGAATAACTTTAAAGCTTTGAAAAGCGTGTTAGTTGACTCACGGACGTTAATCCATGGAACTTATTCCTACACATCATATAAATACTTTCTGAACTAGGTAAAACTATCTTACTTTTACGCACGCAAATACAAAAACACAAGTACATATAAAGAAATTTCATTACTGTGTTTTCCACCTGAAGAATTTGTCTAAAATTTGGAATTGCAGATGACAGTAAATCCATCAAGGCAAAGTAGACAGATCGGCAGTCCGAATACGAACAGTTCGTCCCCAATCTGATTGTATCCACTAGACGACATTCAAAATTCTTTGCTAAGACGATGTTTTGTTCAGCTGCGACATATCTCTCAGAGTTTGACTCCGCTAAAGGAAAAGTAATTGCAAGTGACATGATGAGAATTCACTCGTGATTACGGTCCTTGTGGTTTACAACATAAATAAATGAGGAAAACACGAAACCCCTCACTGGATCAAAAGAAATTGTTGTGGAAGGTTGAAACAAACGGAAAAGGATAAATTCTAGGCACAGTGGGCTGCAAAACACATCAAATAAATCGAAATGAATATAATACGAAAGAATAATTAGGTTGGGATGAAAATCTGGACCGCAGCCGGATTCGAAACAGCGACCATCGGGTGGTCACTTTCAATCATCACCCAGCATAAATAATAGTCTGCCAAGCTACGGCTATCTCAGATAGTCAAATGATAATAATTAAATTCTGGTCGACTTGAAATTAGGATATCAAGGTGAATATCCACAAAGGGAGAGAAGTGGAATGAAAACAGTAATATTAGCTATTGTGAAAAGACTTCTCGACCTTGATATTGTCTTACTGTGCGACAAGATAAAGGCCACTCAATCAGTTAGCGATCGGTGTCGGTAAGCATGGTACATGCTTCACGCCGTGAAAGTACTTCAAAATGGGTCGAAGCCCCGTAGCTGCACTCACCCATAGTAGACAGTCATTAGACGTCAGAAAGGATGTGTACCTAAAAGTTGTAAGTAATGGCGGAGGTTTAACTGATGGGGTTTCCAACTGAGTATTTAGTATTCTCACTAGTCTGGACTTTAAATTCCGCCCCATCCTATGTCGATTTGCGAACTTTGATATCAATCTTTTTTAATTCAATAACTCTTTGCACGCTGCTAAGAAGTGTGGTAACTGGAAGGTATGCACTTCTCTGTGACGTACTACGTTGGTTTTGTCCGTCTGTATGATGCATGCTTATCCTAAAGGAGGACACCCTGGTTTCCAGTGTTTAGACAATAGCAATTTCTTAATCTCTGACCGATAGCTGCTACGTCGACGTGGTCGTCGGACTAGTGTATCACGATGACTCAACGAGTCATGCTGATGGAACGCTAGTTCCTTCGAGGTCCTACCATGCCAGAAAGGTTTGTTGCATAGTGGTAAGACGAAAAGCAGTTACCGTTGTAATCTAAATTGCTACACTAAGATGGATGTCCGAGGGCGAAGTCATACTGCTGCTAGCTGGATGGGGTGCGGCAGCAGTAAGGTGTTGACCAGCAATGCCACGCTGATGTTGCCTTTACAAAGGGAAGAGGGGGAGTTAGAAAAGGTCGGCTTCAAAAACAAAACACACTCGACCATGTCTCACGGTCTTCCGGTATCAGGGGCATGGGTCTCCTTTATCTGACGCTGGAACAACCAAATCTCAAAACAACCCACAAAAGGCTGTGTAACAGTCCTCAAGCAAACGTCCCATGGGCTCTGCGGTCAAACAAATCTTTTTCTCTTTCAGATACTTTAAGACGAAATAGTCTTCTACGGTCGACCTTTACCTCTTATACTAATATTAAGTCCCTTACACCTACCCCAACTTCTCATTCTCCAAACACTGTCAACGATCGAAGCCATCAAAACCTTATTCCTAGTTTCCTAACACTCCGCCACCCGCCGATCCCATGAAGGAGCTCTCAATGTCCAAACTCCACCAAACTGGACAGCAAGCATCAACCACCAGAACTACGGAATTTCTGACCATAAATGTCTGCTGTGTCTCTGAGACACCTATAGAGGACCCAAGTGTGGTCATTAAACGGATCTCACCTGGGCATAGTAGTGAATCTTCAAAACTCACCTTACAAGTACCCGCAGACCCAATGACTAGCCTTCGGCAACTCGCTAGTGTAAGCATAGCATTGAGTTGTAGAGCAGAAAGTGCGCCTCTCGACTGGATACCAGTAAACAGTCGTCTATAAGCTGTTCGACTGAATGAATCTGAAAGGACCAGGAAGGATCGTGACACCAACCAATGCCTATTTGTAATCTCCGTCTACACACCCACTGTACCTCGGATGATGCAAAGGATGAATTCTACGAGTTGTCAATTCTGCTACAGAAAGCAAAACGTGCAGATAAAGCCATAATGGCAGGTGACTTTAACACTCAAGTAGGGAAGCTGAGCCAAGCGAACAGGCATCTGGGGAGTATTTACGGAATCCCATGCCAACGGTGATCACATCTTGCAATTTCGCTCCGACAATCACTTGTTTCTGGCCTATACCAACCTCAGGCACAAGGATAGACATCGCCTCGCATGGCGTCCGCAGACATAAAACTAACAATGGACATATAGATCATACTGCCATAAGCCATCGTTGGAAAGTACCAGTGGAGGATTGCCGCTCTTTCTGAAGTATCAGTTTGGACTGTGATCACGCGCTAGTACGGACTCGTGTATGTCTGCACCTTACTGGTCACAAGAAACAGGCCGTAGTGAAGCGCGTCTATCGACGATTGGAAGACGAGAACATCGAGTCCGAATTTAGGAAAGACATAGCTATTTAACTGAGCATGACAGCAATCCTCATCCTGAGGAAACTTGGCATGATATTAGATTTGCTGTAGAAACAGTGGTAAAGACAATTGGTAACCTACACATGAAAGTTAGTGAACGTCATTGGATTTTTGCAACATCATCCGAACTGATTGGTGTGAGAAGACTGATTCTAGCTGCCTCTGACCACGAGAAACAGCGAAAGCAACTCGAACGTAAGTTGATAAAATCTTTGCGTCGACTACGAGCAATGGTGGGTGGCGAAAGCAAGAGAGATGGAGGCAGTAGTGTTGGGTAACACTCGGCAACTATTTAGGCTCATTAAGAATAGCAGCGAGGAGGCATAGACGAGTGAAACCATCACAGGAAATGAAGAGGCGTTGATAACCTCCCAGGATAGGTAACTAGTACGCTGGCACTGAACACTTTGAATGACAGTTCAAATGACCCTCAGCAATGTCTCAGTTGCCCAGTATCCAGCCTGAACATGAATGGCACGCGAATGTCGGCCCTTCAACTCTACTTGAAGCTGAGAAAACTACGTCGAACTTTAGACGATGCAAAGAAGCATGACCTGACACTTTGCCACCTGAAGGATGGAGGTAGGGAAATGTTGCTTAGACTGACGGAGGTACTAGGTAGTGTATGGGAATCAGAGGTAAGGTCGTCAAACTGGCCTACTTCTCTGATCATCGCAGTCTATAAGAAGGGAGAGAAATCTTCCTGTAACAATCACAGGGGAATTATTGTCCTAGATCCTTGTGTCCATAGTTATCTGATGGCTAACTGGAGCTCCAGAAAAGCAAACTCGAGAAAAACAGGCAGGTTTCAGACTTGAACGAGAGTGCATAGGTCATATTTCTACCCTACGACAGGTTACGAAACAGGCATACTTATCGGCTAACGGCCAACAGTAGCCATATTTCTTGATCTGAAGGCGAAATTTGTCTCAATCGACCGTGAGGTGTTGTGGCAGTGCCTGATTATGAAAGAAGTACCGAGTAAGTACATAACGCTAATCAAAGCTCTCTATCCGTACTCACGCAGCCGTGTCAAGGCTTATGGAGAGTTATCTTCAGAACTGACGACAGCCAGTGATGTTCTTCAGGGATGCCCACTGTTACCGTTCCTATTTAACTTCGTCTTAGATGCACTAATGAACATAACCTTAAGTATGTCTGACTTTATAAGGAGTGACCAACTCCCTAGAGGTCATCTGGTTGACTTAGAGTATGCAGACGATATTGTTCTGCTGGATGAAGACGCTGAAAAAATGCAGGGTCTAATGAACGCATTGAGCAGAAAGCTGACAATGTTTGGCACGCGTTTTGCACCTGTCAAATGTAAGATGATGCTCCAGGACTGGTCTGCAACCACTCCTAGTTTAATGATAGGGAGTGGAGTGGTGGAATGTGTCAACCACCTCACTTACTTGGGGACTTGAACAAGTCCAAACGGGCTGGATGTTGACGAAATCTCAGCTCCGATACAGAAAGCCCATTTGGTATTTGCCAATTTGCACCATGTGGCGCGATTTCCGACCATCTATCAAATGATGAGTATACTGAGCTGCAGTCCGTTCTGTCCTGTTGTGTGGTTGTGATATATGGGCGTTAACAGTAGAAGACATGAAGTGATTACTGGATACTGGGTACTAGGCAAGATAGGCAAGTCAATTGATGAAGTTGTGAATTTTCATCGGCTAACCTGGACATGTGTTGCACATGCCGAGTCACCTTAGTGATAACTACCACCTTGACGTGGTGATCAGGCTTGTATATCACGATGACCCAACTAGTTATGTTAATGGAACCCTTGTTCCCTTTAGGTCCTACCATACCAGAAAGGTCAGTTGGATAGTGGTTAGACATGTTCTCAAACAAATATATGATCCGTTATGATGACTTAGATCAGTCATCAGCGATTAGTGGTGAACCAAAACTACAGAACGTATGTCCGATTACATCTTTCATAATACACGGCAATTGCCGTAGCACTAAAACGGCCATACGCGACCGACCTCAAGTGAATTTCTCCTGGGCTCTGCGGTCACGCACTAACCCCTCTTTTCCAGGTACCCCAAGAAAACCTACCTTTCATGGTGTGGGCCCGACCGATAGCTGCTACCTTGACGTGGTGGTCGGGCTTGCATATCACAATGACCCAACGAGCTATGCTGGTGGAACGCTTGTTCCCTCGAGGTCCTACCATACCAGAAAGGTCTGTTGGGTAGTGGTTAGACGAAAAGCAGTTACCGTTATAGTGTAAATTGCTACACTATGATGGGGGTCTGAGGGCGAAGTCGTACTGCTGCTAGCTGGATGGGGTGTGACAGCAGTAAGGTGTTTCCCTTGGATGACCAGCAGTGCCAAGCTATGCTGCCTTCTCAGTGGAAGGGGGGTTAGAAAAGGTCGGCCCCAAAAATAACACACTCCACCACGCCCCACGGTCTGCCGGGCCGGCGGTGTTGGTTCACTTGTCGTTTCCTTTCGCTCATCCGGCCCCAAAAATACAAAAATTCAAAATAATCATACTCAAAAGGCTGGGTGTGACAGGCCTCAAGCAGATGTCCGATGGGCTCTGCGGTCACACAAATCTCTTTCAGGTACCTTAAGAAGAAATAGCCTTCCACGGTGTGGGCAGCCGGGAAGTGTCAACCGCCCTCACAACTCTGTCAGCACCCAAGTTTCTTCTGACTGCTATCCTCCTCCTCCATCATTACCTTCTAATCTTCCTTCACGTCTCTTAATTAATGATGCTGCATCATCTTCAATTTCTCCTACCTCTGCAGCCTTCGACAACGATCTGAGTCCACAGAACAGCATCCCTGGTCTCCTTAAACCACGCTCCAAATTACATATTGGAGCCTTCAATGTCCGCACCCTCCGTCAAATTGGCCAACAGGCTTCGTTGGCAAAGACTCTAGCAACTCGAGGCATGGATGTGTGCTGTGTTTGTGAGACACGCATACAGGACCCAAGTGTGGTTATTCACCTGACCTCTCCTGACCAATCTGGTGAATCTGCAAAATTCACCCTTCGAGTTTCTGGAGATTCGATAGCTAGCTCTCGTGGTCTTGCAGGTGTAGGTATAGCATTAAGCACCAGGGCAGAAAACTCACTACTAGACTGGATCCCAGTTGATAGTCGCCTCTGCGCTATGAGGCTGAACGGCACAGTGAGAACTAAAAGGAATAGTGAGACTCGCCGTTGTCTCTTTGTAATCTCTGCTTACGCACCCACTGACTGTAGTTCGGATGAAGTGAAGGACGAGTTCTACCATAAACTGTCTAACCTCCTCTCGAAAGCCAAACGTTCGGACGTAGTGGTTGTTGCAGGTGACCTCAACGCACAGGTGGGTAGACTGAGTGAGGCAGAAAGGCACTTAGGTGGCACTTTCGGAATCCCAGCTGAACGTACAGATAACGGTGATCGCCTATTACAACTATGCTCAGATAACCGCCTATTTTTAGCCAGCACAAATTTCAGACATAAAGAAAGGCACTGTCTGACCTGGCGTCCACCGAGCTCGACTCAGCGATGGACACAGATAGACCACATTGCTATTAGTCATCGCTGGAGAGGATCGGTGGAAGACTGCCGCTCCTTCTGGAGTACGTGTTTGGACAGCGATCATGCGTTGGTCCGAGCACGTATATGCCTGCGTCTCAATGGACGTAGAAAAAATTTGGCAACAAAACCACTACGAGTTCTGCTGGACAACGAAAACACCAAAGCCGTGTTCAGTGAGAAGTTGGCTAGGCAGTTATCGGAACAAAAGACTGTCACTCATCCAGAAGAAGCTTGGTGCCATCTTCAGTCTACTGTAAAAGCAGCACTGGAGACTGTAGCCGACTCCAAGATAATGGCTAAAAAGAGCCAGTGGATATCAGCAGCTTCTTCCAAACTAATGGATGCACGTGAATGCATCCCTGCAGGCTCTGAGTACAATGAAGAGCGAGCGCAACTTAAAAATAACTGACGAAAAGTCTGCGCAACGATCGTGAACAGTGGTGGGCAGCAAAGGCTAAAGAGATGGAAAAGGCAGCGGCGATCGGTAACAGTAGACAGTTATTTAGACTTATTAAGGAGACTGGGGGGAAATGGTCAACAACAGTTAGTGAGGTTATAGCGGAGAAGGACGGATCGGCGATTCACTCGCAGGGAAGGCGACTGGGACGATGGGCAGAACACTTTGAGGAACAGTTTAACTGGCCTCCAGCCACCATTGCGCTGCCCGCTATCCAGTCGGACCCTGAATGGGACATAGAGACAGGTCCCCCAACACTAGAAGAAGTTGAGAAAGCGGTAGGTAGCCTGAAACGGGAAGGGCAGCAGGACCAGACGGACTACCTGCTGAGGTATACAAGAATGGTGGTAGAGTTCTCTTAGTCAGGCTAACGGAAGTGTTAGCCAGTATATGGGAATCAAATACGATCCCCTCCGACTGGTCTAAGTCACTCATCATCCCAGTCTTCAAGAAAGGCGAGAAGTCCTCTTGTGATAACCACAGAGGAATCAGCCTGACAAACATAGTGTCTAAGATCCTAAGTTCTATAATTCTCCGACGCCTGAGTGGAGCTCGGGAACAGCAAGCCCGAGAAAACCAGGCAGGCTTTAGACCTGGCCGTGGATGTATCGACCAAATATTCACACTGCGCCAGGTCCTGGAACATAGGCATGCTTACAGACGCCCGACAATAGCTGTATTTCTCGACCTGAAGGCGGCATTTGACTCCGTTGATCGAGAAGTCTTATGGCAGTGTCTGTCACTGAAAGGCGTGCCTAGTAAGTACATCACCTTATTGAAAGCTCTCTACTCGAACACTTGTGGGCATGTTAGAGCCTATGGTGAGTTGTCCAGGGAGCTATACTCATCAAGTGGTGTCCGTCAAGGATGCCCACTATCCCCATTCTTATTTAATTTTATCATAGATATTCTTATGGAGGTTTCCCTCTCGTCACCTAATTACAAAGACGTTGACCGGATCACAGGTGAATTTTCCTTAGATCTAGAATATGCAGATGACATAGTCCTGTTAGGTGAAGACGCTGACAAGATGCAGAGTCTTCTGAACACTTTGAGTGGGAATTTGAGAATGTTTGGGATGCGATTTTCACCACCCAAATGCAAATTTTTGCTCCAGGACTGGTCTTCAGCGGTACCGCGGTTAACAATAGAGAGTGAAGTGGTTGAGTGTGTTGACCACTTCACTTACCTGGGAAGTAGGATCAACCCGGTGGGTTAGTTGCCGATGAGATTTCTGCACGGATACAAAAGGCTCGATTGGCTTTTGCCAATTTGCGCCACCTATGGCGCCGCCGTGATATTCGTTTGTCTATTAAGGGTCGCGTGTACTGCACAGCAGTCCGCTCTGTTCTACTGTATGGCTGTGAAACATGGCCATTGAAAGTGGAAGACATGAGAAGGTTACAGGTATTTGACCACCGTTGCCTTCGTAGTATAGGACGTATTCCGTGGTGTCACCATGTGAGTAATGCAGAAGTTAGGTGTAGAGTTTTAGGGAGAAGAGGTAAGTCAGTCGACGAGGTTGTGAACCTTCATCGACTGAGATGGTTGGGACACGTACTACGTATGCCTAGTCACCGATTGCCTCGTCACACAATGTTGGCTGAGGTGGGTTCAGGCTGGAAAAAGGCCCGAGGTGGCCAGACTAAAACATGGCACCAATGTATGAAGTCTCTGACTGTTGGTTTAAGCCATGTAGGACGATGCAGACTAGGTGGTTGGGGTCCACGGGACAAGAGGAACCAGTGGTTGGAGACCCTAGGTGATATGGCTCAGAACCGAAGTCAGTGGCGCAGATGTATACACACATTATCCTCATCTTAACAACGCTATACCGAATCTCACTATTTTGTCACTCCTCTTTCCTTTCTTCTCGTACTTTATATTTCTTTTGACTGCATTCACTTATCTTCATCCTTCACCTCACTACCTTTTTACTTGATGTGCTGATATGAGGTGTGGCAACTCGGACCGTTACGCAGTAATGCCTGGTCCTATGTTGATAATGATGATGATGATGGTGTGGGCAGCCTGGAAGTGTCAACCGCCCTTACAACTCTCTCAGTGCTCACGTTCCCTCAGACCACTATACACCTCTCTCATCGTTACCTCCTAATCTTCATTCACGTCTTTCAGTTAACAATCCTACACCATCTTCAATTTATTCTAGCTATGCATCTTTCGAAAACGATATGAGTCCACATAACAGTATCCTTGGTCTCCTTAAACCACGCTCTAAATTACACCCTCCGTCAAACTGGCCAACAAGCTTCACTAGACAAAACTTTAGTAACTCGGGTTATGGATGTGCTGCTTTTCAGACGCATACAGAATCCTTTCCTAGCCAATATGGTGAATCGCCAAAACTTACCATTCGAATTTCTGGAGAGTAGATGGCTAGTTCTCGCAGTTTCGCAGGTGTACGCTTAGCATTAAGCACCAGGGCAGGCATCTCACTGCTAGACGGGATCCCAATTGACAGTCGTCTACGCGCTATCCGGCTGAACGGTACACTGAGAACTAAAAAGGAATAAGCGTAACTCCCTGTTATCTCTTTGTATTTTCTTCTTATGCACCTACTGACTGCAGTTTGGATGGAATGATGAATGAGTTCTACCAAAAACTGTCTAGCCTCCTTCTAAAAACCAAACATTCAGACGTAGTTGTTGTTGTGGGTGATTTCAATGCACAAGTGGGTAGGCTGTCAGGCAGAAAGGCACTTAGGTGGCACTTTCGGAATTCCGGCTGAACGAACAGATAACGGTGATCGCCTACTAGAGCTGTGCCCAGTTAACCGTTTATTTCTAGGTAGCGCAAATATCAGACCTGAGGTAGCATCCACCGAGCTCAACTCAGCGATGCACAAGGAGAGAAGACTGGAAAGATGGGTAGAACACTTCGAGGAACAGTCCAACTGACCTCCAGCTACTATTGCGTAGCCCACCATCTAGTCGGATCCTGAATGGAACATTGAGATCCGCCCCCCAACACTTGCAGAAGTAGTGCAAAATTCCCATTTAGACACTTAGTAAAACAAACAATGTGAGCGAAGAAATATTTCTTTTCAATTAGTTCCTCATCAATGGCTCTACACTAATATAGCATTTTCAAACGTCAAACTCTCCGTACCATGCGACAGCGAAATGGTTAGTACAACTCTTGAAACCATTGCATAAGGAGGTTGTAAAGCATAGCACCAAAGATACTTTTCACTTTATTGATAAGAGATTTGAATGTGAATGATAAGTCTATGATACCCTTAGACGTATCATCCCTATTCACAAATGTCCCTCTAATGGAAACAGTGGGCTTCATATGTAGCGAACCGGAAAAGAGAAACATAGAA